GTAGTGTCTCCTTCGGTGGTGGTGAGAAAGGTAAAATTATTGGTATTGGTTCTATTGGTAAGAAACATTCACCCGTTATTGAAGATGTTTATTTGGTTAATGGTTTGAATCATAATCTTCTTAGCATTAGCCAATTGAGTGATAAAGGTTTTGATATTTCTTTTAAACCGGAAAAATGCATTATTAGTATGAATGGAAAAACTATTTTTGTTGCTAATCGCAAATCAAATGTGTACATTTTTGAGATGAATGAATTAGTGAATCAAGATGTGAAGTGCCTTGCGGCTATTGATGAAAAAAACCCTTGGATTTGGCATAAGAGGCTTGGACATGCAAACATGGATTTGATATCAAAATTGTCTAAGAGAAATCTTGTAAAAGGGTTACCTAACTTGCACTTCATCAAAGATACAATATGTGAATATTGTGCCAAAGGTAAACAAACAAAATCTTCCTTCAAATCCATCAACGAGGTATCAACTTCTAAACCTTTGCAATTACTTCATCTTGATTTATTTGGTCCTATGCGTGTTACCTCTCTTGGAGGCAAACACTATGTATTTGTGATTATTGATGATTTTTCTCGTTTTACATGGATAATATTTCTTGCAAATAAAAGTGATTGTTTTGAAGAATTTTCTAATCATGTCAAAAGGATTGAAAATAAAAAAGATCTGAAAGTTGTTAAAATAAGAAGTGATCATGGAGGTGAATTTCAAAATAATTTTTTTTTTCTATGAATTTTGTGCTCATCATGGTATAACTCACATGTTTTTCGCTCCTAGAACACCACAACAAAATGGTGTTGTTGAACGAAAAAATCACACCATACAAGAGATGGGACGCACTATGCTAAATTCTTTTGATTTGCCAAAATATTTTTGAGCGGAAGCCATCAATACGGCTTGCCATGTTTTAAATCGTGTTTTAATTAGACCAAAGCTTAAGAAAACTCCTTATGAACTATTTTATGGAAAAACTCATTTTATTGGTTATTTTCGTATCTTTGGGTGCAAATGTTTTATTTTAAATACAAAAGATCATCATGACAAATTTGATTCCAAAATTGATGTTGGTATTTTCTTAGGTTATGCACCTCGAAGTAAGGCTTATAGGGTCTTCAACAAACGAACTCTCGTTATTGAAGAATCTATAAACGTTACTTTTGATGAGACTAATGTTGGTTCTCAAGTTGTTTTACCTAGGAAAGATGATGATGATGATGTTGAGGGAGGATTGGACCTTTTACAAATCAATAATACACCCTGTATAGAAGCACAAAAGGATGTGGATAGCTCCAATGCTCATGAACAAGTTGAACTTCCTAAAGCTTGGAAATTCACATCAAACCATCCAAAGGAACAAATAATTGGGAGCTCTTCACAAGGAGTTGTTGCTCGCTCAAAAGCCTTGAGTGAGTGTGGTAATGTTGCTTTCTTATCTCAACTAGAGCCTAAAAAGATTAATGACGCTTTAAATGATGAATTTTGGGTTTTAGCTATGCATGAGGAACTAAACAATTTTAAAAGAAATGATGTTTGGAAAGTAGTTCCTAGACCTAACAATGCTAGTGTAATTGGAACAAAATAGGTTTTTAGAAACAAACTTGATGAACATGACATTGTTACTAGAAATAAAGCTCATTTGGTTGCCCAAGGATACAATCAAGAGGAGGGCATAGACTATGATGAAACATTTGCACCGGTTGTAATGTTGGAATCTATTAGGATGTTTTTGGCATTTGCTAGCTTTAAAAATTTCAAATTATTTTAAATGGATGTTAAAAGTGCCTTTTTAAATGGTTTTATAGAAGAGGAAGTATATGTTGAGCAATCCCCCGGTTTCATAGATCATGCTTTTTCAAATCATGTTTACCGGGTTCAAAAAGCTTTATATGTGTTGAAACAAGCTCCTAGAGCTTGGTATGCTCGCCTCTCTAGTTTTCTTGTTGAAAATAGTTTTTCAAAAGGAACAATTGATAACACTCTTTTTGTAAGAAAAAGGAAAAATGATTTTATTTTAGTTCAAATATATGTTGATGATATCATTTTCGGTGCTACTAATGAATCTTTGTGCAAGGAATTTTCTAAAGTTATGCAAGATTATTTTGAGATGAGTATGATGGGAGAGCTTACATTCTTTCTCAGGCTCTAAGTCAAGCAAACTAAGGATGAGATATTCATTTCTCAAAGCAAGTATGCTAAGGAATTGGTGAAGAAATTCAATTTGGAGAATTCTAAGCATGCGCCTACTCCCATGAGTATAAGTGTCAAGCTTGATGCGGATGAGAGTGGTGAAGATGTGGACCAAAAACTATACTGAGGTATGATAGGTAGTCTTCTTTATCTCACCGCTAGTAGACCCGATATCATGTTTAGTGTGTGTGCATGTGCACGTTTTCAAGCATCTCCTAAAGCATCTCATTTAATTGCCGTTAAAAGAATCATTAAATATGTTAATGGTACTTTTAATCTTGGCTTATTTTATCCAAGAAGCACCTCTTTTGATTTATATGGTTTTTGTGATGCCGACTTTGCCGGATGTAAGGTAGATCGCAAGAGTACGAGTGGAACATGTCAATTCTTAGGAAATTCACTTGTTTCTTAGGCTTCCAAGAAACAAAATTGCGTTGCATTGTCCACTACGGAAGCGGAATACATTGCCGCCGGCTTATGTTGTGCTCAAGTTTTGTGGATGAAACAAAGCTTGGTTGACTATGATTTGCATTTTCAAAATATTAAAATCTTTTGTGATAATACCAGTGCTATAAATATTTCCAAAAATTCAGTTTTGCATTCAAGAACCAAGCATATTGATGTGCGCCATCATTTCTTACGCGATCATGTAGAGAGACAAGATGTATCCCTAGTATTTGTTAACACAAAATCTTAATTAGCGGATATATTTACTAAGCCTCTTGGTGATGATGCTTTTTGTCGCATAAGAAATGGTTTGGGCTTATGCAATATGTGAAAGCTCTATTTGCTTGCTTGTTTAGTTGCATTTTTGCATGCATTTCTCTTTACCTCATTTTTTGATGGTGACAAAGGGGGAGAGAAATCTCCTCATTTGTTGCACATACTCAGGGGGAGCTCATAGATAGGGGGAACACCTATCTATAATCTATATTTATTTTTGCTCTTATATAATGGTTGGTTGTCATCATCAAAAAGGGGGAGATTGTTAGCCCTTATGTTTTAATGATGTTTTACAACCACCATTATCGGTACTAATGGCTTATTGAGTGCAAATGTAGTGAATTCATATATCAAGCTTGTTAGTGCCAAAAATGGAGGATTGGATGGAATATGCGCTATAACGATGATATCCAAAGGAGGAGGAGCCATAGTGATGAAGCAACGTTATTTCAAGAACACCACATTCAAATTAGAAGCTTCATCCAAACTCTAGCGATATCAAGACTCAATAATTGTATTCTCGTAAGGATATTAGCTAGGTTTTATTTTCTCTCTAGTGCTAGAATGTAGGAAAATAGTTTAGATTTTATCTGAAGCTATTGGGATATCAACACACACGTTTTCATACTTATAGTTTTGAACGTATTTCACAAAATACTATTTTTCACAAGTATGAGGACCTATCTGCAAAATTCCTTTTCCAAATAGTTTGTTTTTAGTATTAAAAACATTTTACAAAGTTTCGTAATTTTCAGAGGTCAAATAAATATTTTACAAATATTTTAAACTGAGTCAAAACATTTATTTTGAGTGTATCAGATTGCGGTCGACCGCCACGGTCGACCGCACCTGAGTTCACTCGTCACGTGAGCAAAAAATTTCCCACGGTCGACCGCCACGGTCGACCGCGAAAGTCTCTGGACTTTCAGTAAGTTTCTGACCTGTCTCGCAGTCGACCGCGAAAATCCACGGTCGACCGCCGATTTGTTTTAATGGTAATATTAGTACTTTTTCAGCGCCGCTCAGTTTCAGCGACGATTGTTTCCAGATTTTGGGGGATTAAGGGTATGGGTTTACACAACTGGTTTCTTATATTTAAACTCAACCTCTTCTTCTTCCTCAGTGTCCCAGCTCTTGAGATATTTTCAGAGAACATTTTTTTACAGAGCAAAATTTTCAAACCTGTTTTCATCTGAGTTTTCTGTTTGTGTCTCACATCCCAGCTTCAGTGTTATCTTCTCTTTGCCATAGGGACATTGTAAAGAGAGGGTTCTTACACCATTTCTACTATTTTGAGAGCGTGATCTTGTGTAGATCAATTGTGTGGGAGTGTGATATGTTGAGATCAATTGTGTAGTGAGAGATCGTGAGGGGATCGCTATGTAGACGAAGTTCCGGCTTCCAAACCGGGTTGTGTAGTGGATTTCTCCTCGAGAGTGGGGAGCGGGGACGTAGGTCAGCGGACCGAACCTCGTTAACATATCGCGCGTCACATGATAACGATTCCTAACCCTATCTCCTCTATTTTGATTGCATTTGCATATTGTGTTTTGCTTGTCTTATTTTTATTGCATAATTATAGCCTCGTGACCCTAATCACCCTCCTCTAGGGTCCAACATCTCTCTCTCTCTACACTTTTTTTTTCTCTAACAATAGAATAATATATATAGAGAAACCAAAACCCTATCTCTAGTCTAACTTCATAATTAGAATAAGATTCAAACTCTCAATCATGATGGAACCCAAACTCCTAATCATGATAGATCTCTAATCTTATCTAATTCTCATGAAGTTATAAAACTCCTAATCATGATAGATCTCTAATCTTATCTAATTCTCATGAAGTTATACAAAGAATTAAAAACTCTATTCTAACTTGGAGTTTGAGTTATCTAATTCTCATGAAGTTATACAAAGAATTAAAAACTCTATTCTAACTTGGAGTTTGAGTAGATACCCCAACATTTTCATCCTTTTACATGGTAAAAACTTACAACCAGAGAGCCCCTAACTAAACTGAAAAAACAAATTTCTATTTTCATCGCGTGTGAATCCGAACGCATATAACCTCTGAGTTTCTCAACTTTAAACACAGTACGCTTCGATCCGAAAACAAACCCAAAAGAGACTCCCCCTCGCTCTCTCCCACTTCCATGGCGAAATCCAAAACCCCTCCCCCTCCCGATCTCGATCCCAACTCCTGCTCCCTCGAAAAATTCCGCCTTTACGAGACTCGAGCTGTAATCTCTCTCTCTCTCTCTCTCTCTCTCTCTCTCTGAGTGTGTGTGTGTGTGTCAAATCCCCCAATCCGTAAATCTTCTCTCCTTGGATTAATTTTTTCGCTCATCGCAGCGATTCTATCTCATCGGCAGCGATCGATACAAGCAACACTACCGCGTCCTCAAGATCGATCGATCAGAGCCCTCGGAGCTCAACGTCAGCGAGGACCCCGTCGTCTACTCGCAGCAAGAAGTCAAGAACCTCCTCCAACGGATCGCCGAGGGCAATCGAGCCACCGGTGGCCTCATCTCCGGCGGAAAAGTCTACGGCATCGCCGGTACTCGATTCGTAGAGTTTCCCTAATTTTTTTGATTGACGAAATTGGTGATGTTTGCGGTTTTTTGTTAGGTTGTATTAAGTTTCTGGAGTCCTATTATTTGATTCTTGTAACCAAGAGGAAGCAGATTGGGACGATATGCGGGCATGCGATTTATAGTATTGAGGAGAGCCAGCTGATTACTGTGCCGCACTCGTCGATTCAGTCGGATTTGGCGAATTCCAAGACCGAGCTCCGGTAAAGTTTTATTCTTTTGTTTTTGGTGTCAAAATTTGAGCTTGTGTGGAGTTGAGCTATAAGAAATCGATATCAATAGCTTTAAATCTATCATGAGTATCAGGATTCATTTAAAAAAAAAATAATCTTCAGATTGTGTCATCTCCTGTAGAATATGCTTTATAAACAACACATAACTTGCTAAAAGGGTGCAAAAAAATTGCAATAGGATACAAAATTATATCTTGCAACTCACCTCAACTTTGAGAAAGCTTCATTGCATTGGCCATATGCAGATTTAGAAAAGAAAAAAAAAAAAACTTTGTGTGGGTCCTTGTATCGACTCATGGAAAGGGCCTCAAATTGTGTCGGTGTATCAGAGTATAAAACTATAACTCAACTGCTCACCACTACCTCAGAGTTTTGATGTAGTTAAGGGACTTTTGACAGAGTACTAATGAAATTGTTAACTAATACAAAAAATGTTATAGGCATATGGGGAAACTCTTTAGTCAAAATTTCTTGCATACAAAAATTGACCACTTCTGACAAAAAAGGCACTTCCTGTACTAATATTGAGAATTTATGCTGAAGTATAATTATGTTTAGGTATTTAGGATGAGGGAGTTGCTTAGTGGTTGCTAGAATGTAAAGTTGCTTAGTGGTTGCTAGAATGTAAGTGAATAGCTATGAATCCTTTATTAGTATCATGATTCAGAGTTTTTTAAATCGTCGAATTGGGTCATTTCCTGTAGAAATATGTTGTAGAAACAAGACATAGCTTTGCAAAGGGGTGTAAATAGAATGCACTAGAATATAAAATAGTATCTCACAACTCACCAGAACTTCGGAGTATTGTCCAGTGGAAGGAACTTTTGATATGGCATTAGAGCAAGGCAGATCCATTACATTGACCATAAGCGGATTTAGTAAACAGACATTGTGGGAGTCCTTGTTTTGGCCCATGGAAAGGGGCTCAACTTGCGGGGGCGTATTATAAAATATAGTTATTACTCAACAACTCTCCAGAACTTTGTAGATTTGGTGCTGTGAAGGGATGTTTGGTAGAGTACTAGTGAAATTGTTAACTAATAGGAAAAATGTGCTAGACGTATGGGGAAACTCTTAATGAAATTTCTTGCATACAAAAGTTGACTACTTTTCACGAAAAATAAGCACTTCCTATAAAAATATCGAGAATTTATGCTAAAATATAATTGTGTTTAGGTATTTAGAATGAAGGAGTTGCTTAGTTCTTAACACAATTGGTCAACCGGCTTAAGGATAAAACTGAAGTAGTTCTTTTTTTAAGTTAACAGAAATCCCGTTTCTACTGACATTTCCAATTGGTTTGCAAGTAAAATGTTGGCAGATTCTCATTTCTATTGGAATCTCCAGTTTAAGTATTGTTGAGATCCCATCACCACAGGCCCCTTTAATTAACACACGAGTGAATGAAAAACTCAAACTGCCATAAACAGTGTCTTATATGAGTTATCTGGATTTGATTAATACCTCAGACTGTAAGTGCTAGAATTTAGTTCTTATTTTTTGATTTTGAGCAAATGCATCTCATTTTATTTCTACGTGTTATCCAACTTCAGTTTGTCTATTTTCATTTTTTTATTGGATAGGATTCCATTGATTGGTTAGTGGGTTGCATTAATTTAGCAGATTTAATTTTGTAAAAACAACCTGGTTAGCATGAGAATCACCAGATTCACCACTCAGTTGTTTTCTTACAGAAGGGTTTCCATTACTAGTTAACTAGTAGTGAACACAGAGTATTATTCAGAATTGCAACCTGCTCTACTCTTCCGAATATCTGTGTCTGGATGCGAAATTAGTTAAAACTGTCTCTTTGGATATGCCTTTGTATCGTTGATGCCTAAAAACATGTACAAATTCTTTACAGGTACAAGAAGCTCCTATCTAGTGTTGACCTTACAAAGGATTTCTTCTATAGTTACACATATCCCATAATGCAATACTTACAGAGAAATGTCACTGCTTCTGGTGGGGAGAAGATGCCTTATGATAATATATTTGTGTGGAATGCATTTCTCACACAAGCAATACGAACAAGATGCAATAATACATTTTGGACGATTGCTTTAGTTCATGGGCACTTCAAACAGGTAACTTGGCTCTTAACTTTTGGAACTCATGCTCTTGCTTTCTTGATTATATGTTTCATGGCTAAGTCGAGTAGCTTAAAGTGTTTCCTTTTCCTTTTCTTTTCTTTCTCATTGTGAGCAAACTATTAAACAAACTGTCCAATATATTTTGAGACAGTTACATATGGAGTTAGATGTTGGAAGTAGTACTTGCTTTGGTTACTGAGCTGATGTAAAAGCTGATATACAGTATTATATGCATTATCCTGCAAACATTAGACAGCTGCCCTTATCACCAACTCTGGCTAAAAGAATTGGTGCTAGTTGCTCCTGCTTCACTGTTTTATATATTTAATGGCTGATGGAATCTCTATTTGTTTGAGATGACAGCCCGCTCAATCAAATGTTTAAGATTAGGATGAGATATGATTAGGAGTAGGGTGAGTAAATATATCCGTTGGTACGTTGTGGAAACAATTGGTCTGGTTTTCTGGTCATTAAAATATTTTTTCTGTGGTACTTCACATCAGTGGTTCTCTATTTGGCCCATAGGCTGACATCCATAAAGGAACAAGAACATACCACGGTGAAGGAGTCATTGTGAAGAAAGCCCCTTTGAATAATATACTGTGGAGAAGGGAGGCCTTACCAAGAAAACTTGTGTAAATATAATAGAGGAAAGAGCTCTAAAGAGAGGGCACAGGTATACATGGCTAAATTGTTATCATCCTACTATGTCCTCCTACGTTGGACATGTAGATTGCAGCTAACCCCCATGGACCAGGGCACCTCCATGCTACACAAATTGCCCTGGCATTATTAGCTTGCACCAGGATTTTGTCTGAAATTTCCTTTGCCACTATAAATGGGTGATTTAAACCAACTTCCACTTAAAATGGAATGTCTTTTTGGAGCTAATGTTTAATTTAGTAGTTTCTTGAGTTTGTGGATGTATAGCCAACTCAAAAGGAAAAGACTTGAAACAAGTTATAAGAGCAATAGGTAGTACATTAAAGACTTGAAAGAAATATATTCTAAAGGGTAGGTACGAAGACTGAGCTTTACTGGATACTGATAAGAAGCTAATGCAATTTGAAGGAGTTATTTTTTGATATTGTATTTTACATTTAAGGGTATATTCTTAAATCTAAGCTGTTCAATTAATTTCATTCATCTTAGTTGTGTCAAAAATATTAAATTCAATTATGTAAACCCTAAACTTAGTTCTTTTCTATATTTGTTAGTCTAAACAAAGGCCAGAGTTTGTAGAAATTTATTTTTGAGTTTGTAGAAATTTTTTTTTCAACAGCAGCCTGAAACTGCACTGCATAAAGGCTGGAGTTTGAATCTAAGAATGAAAGGTGCTTTTGTGGAGACTGAGATATTTTTATCTCTTTCCCATTTTCTTTTTTTCTTTCTCTTTCTGTTCTATCCTTCTAATTTCTCCATAATTTGGGCCAGAAGAACACCCTCTAAATTAGTTACACAAAGGATTGTGGTTTTGGGTTACATCAAAGGTTTTGGATAAACATTTTTGATAGTGTGTATCTAGCTGAAGAGGCAATTGAGACTGGTAGCAGTACACATCTATGGTCTTTTGCTTTCTAACACAAAATTAAGTAGTTGCTTTCGAGTGGAGGATTTCTTACAAATTCACAAGGGATTATTTCCTACAAGAAAATAATAAGGTAAAAACAATACGGAGAACACCCAATGCAGTTTCATTGCCTTCGTCTTAACCTTTTGTGTCTAATTGCAGCCGTTAGTTAAAGTAACCATCTTCTCTTTTCTTTTTCTACCTCTCTACTTTTTTCCTTATCAGTCATCACTTTCACATTGTTCACCAAACTCAGTAATCCCCCTTCTACATTTTCCATCCTTCTATAAACCATTTCCTTCATTATTCTTGAACCAAATATAAAATCAGATTTCATCCTTTTCTGATTAGCGCTTAGCATCAGTTAGAAAGAACTTAGACTTTGCTGAAGAACTTATATTGGAAGATTCAAGTTTTGTAGCTTGTATTTGCATTTGTTCATTGGTTTTAGGTACTTTGATGCCTTACAACTTACTGGCTCTGATCAAGATACCTATTCTTAATGAATTATGAGGATACCATGTCATGACAGAGGATGCCAGGAGTGAACTTTGAGGGCTTATAGATATGGGTTAAAGACCGATCTAGCCTTGGTATGAATAGAAGGCATTTAGATAAGCTAGTAGGGTCCTTAATGCTTGTCCTCATTAAACAAAGGAATCCACTGGAACCCGCAAAGAGGTGCCTGTGTGCCACTATGTTTTGTATTACCATGTTATGATGTTACCATCTTTTGTGCTCTCTTATGAAAGCTTATGGTGTGATGAAGTGCAATATTTACATTTATCCTTTAAATGCTGATTTGGGATTTCAACAAAAGACCATTTTCTATGAAGGAAGGTTCAGTAACTTCTACTAAATGTTCATACGTGTTGAAACCAATATATAGTTCACATTGAGTTAGGAATTTTTTTAAATAAAACAAATCATTGACAATGGAACCTAGGGAGAATCTAGGTGTATTTTAGGTAGGCCACGTGCCTTACCTCAAATTTGAAAAATTCATTGGTTTATCTATTTTCCATACAATAAACTTTTGGTGCAAACATTTGTGCCTAACCTCAACTCTAGGTGTATTTGCTCTTTCGTAGCAAACACTGACCACTAATGATGCGAGGCTAACTCTCCTTTGTGTGTAACTATATTCTTTTATTATTTCATTCCATATATTTCTAGTATTGAGGAGATCATGTCTAGTGACGAGAAAGAATAATTTCCTTTGGTTTATAGGGGCTTAGTGGTTAGTCTCATTGTTATGCATTTGTTCTCTATAATTAGGATTTATGTATATAATCTTATATGTATGTATATAACTCGAGTTTAGAAGGGATATTTTTTTAGATCTATATTGGTTTTTTTTATTTTCATATTAAAGAGAACATAAACAAGGAAGGAAATAGTACATGCTAGTTACTCGTGGCAAGTAATGGACATGCAAACGATATAAAATACAAAAGGTTTGGTTAAAATACTCACATTTGTTTGTAGCTTTTTTCAAAAGAAGTCACAGTTTTTTAATAGGTCGTTGATCCTGTGTAACAGTATGAAGGATAATAGTGCCTTCACCCTAATTTTCACACTGGCTACATGATTCTTTTTCTGGTTAAGCCTTTTAAACTTCTTTGTTTGTATCACACTATGAGTAAGGAGTACAGTATTGAAGCTTCTGGCATGTATTGAAACAATTTGTATGTTGCTTTGAAAGAGTCTTGAGGGAAAGTTGTTTACTGTCAAGTCATTAACTGTAGGGAATCTTTTGGTATAATTCATCTTTTTCACATGACTCCAGCTGAATTATTTTTTAGGCTTTTACCAAACATACTCTCTTTTTTCTTTTTTGCATGTTGCATCTTATACTGTATGAAAGTATTTGTACAATCAAGAAGCTAGATACAACATCAAAGTAAGATGTTACTCCTCCAGCGAGCGAAGTAATGATTGATGATGACCTTTGTTATTTGTGCCCCAAGAACTCCTATATATGTTGTGTTAAGCCTATACTCTTCTCTTGGTTTATATTAAGACATGCAAGTTAGTAAAATACAAAATTATTATGACTTGTTCGACCAGAAAAGGGAGCTGTACTTCTAGCATGACTGAGCTCCTCATCATTTGTATAACTGTGCTGCAAATTGGTATTTCTCCAGAAAAAGTGACATTACATATGCATACCCAAAATTTCCAATTGTTCACTCAAGCCGGATGTGAGTTTATAAACTTTAACTATCTCAATTATATAATGCCTTCTTTTGATATGTAAATTCTTGTAAATTGGTTGTAAGTACTGTTTTCAAGGTAATAAAGCATGTGCTAGCTTCAACTTTTTGTATTGATGTCCTTCTTGTTGATACAGGTCAGGTTATCAATCTTTGGTCGAGAATTTAGTGTGACTCTGATTGCTAGGCGTTCTCGTCATTTTGCAGGGACACGGTATATATTTTGCGAATAAATTTGTTGATGTAAACTTTACCTATTTTTTTTTCCAGATGATATTCCTAACAAAAACTGGATGTGCACTATGCTTTAAGTTTCAGGGTTTCTTCTATTTTGATTGTACTATTAATTTTTTCATAACAGATGGTCTCCGATCATCCATAAGTCTGGTCAGTTTAGTAGAGGAACCTATCACTAATTTGATCTCAATTCTTATAAAATCTAATAATGCACAAGCTTTTGTCATTGTATTTCACAAGCTTACTTCTTCAACTTTGTTTCTACAATATCAATGTAGATAGTGGTTCTACTATAAATGTTTATTTCCTACCAACAGCACTCTTGATCTTCTTTTGCATGGAATTGTGTTTCTCTATTCTTAACATGATGTTCTGGTTGTACTGCCACTTGGCCATCTGAGATATTTATCACTGCATCTGGATCTCCCCCATTATACTCTGTGCACTGTATATTGCATAATAATGCAAGTCTTTTACATGGAATAATATCAAGCTATATGGTTTGATAATATGTCATATAAGCAAGAAGTGTGAAAACACTGAATTTGCTATTTGAGTGGAGGGTTTGCTTGTTGAGATTTCCTAGTGTCCTATGAGCTTTATATATAGATAACAAGGCGGTTATTCACATTGCGGAAAACCCAGTCTTTCATGAGAGCACAAATCAGATTGAAATAGATTGCCATCTAGTACGTGAGATCACAAATGGTGGAGTCATTGCGGTGAAGCATGTGTCCTTTAAGCCAATGTCGAAAAACACAGTTTTATTATGTGTGCGGTCTAGGAGCGCCTTAGATCATGCGCCAATTAATCGTATCATGCGGAATTATGCACTTTTGAATTTTATATATATTTACTAGTTGTTATATGTTAAAATATCTAAATTCATGAACATAGAAAATAAAAGTTTCAAGTTTTGACTAATCTGTTTTGTTGGAGAGCTTTGTGGGGGCATGTCAGAGAGCTTCTAGATGATTGTAGGTGAGCTCATAGGAGAGTGTTGGAGGTTGTATGATCTTCCACCAAGTTTTGCAAGGGGTGTGCGGTCGAGCATGTGTCGACGGAGGCCGGGGATATTTGTCGCAGCCGTAGTATTTGAACAAGAGAGAATATAGCGAGAGGAATAGTGGAACTTTGGGAAAATGTTAGGGTTTGAATTTTCTTTACTTGAGTAGTCAGGTTGGGCTTCAGGTAACATGTGTAGCCTGGAAATGATATAAAAGAAATGTGCCTGACAAATAAAATTATGTGGACGCTTACTTAAAAGTACGCTAGATTATGCGTTTTATGTGGACACTTTACTTGAAATGCGCACGATTATGCATGTGACTACATAATGGAGTGCTTTTTCCCTTACCGAAACAGTTCCACGCCACTTACGCTTAAACAGCCGCTTAATCCGCATTTTAGAACATTGCTCTAAGCATTGTTTTAAATATTGGATATTAGATAAATATTGGATGACCAAAATTCATATCGGAGTGTGGAAATCGGGGATATGCAGTAAATATGAGGGTGTCATCTCATGATGTTTATACATTATATTTTATAACATTCTAATATATAATTTAAACATATTTAATAATTTCTAAACTTAAGAAATTGCATCATGATATATGTTTTGGATGACTAACAGATTGTAGAAACTTGCTTTTCGACCGCATCATGAAACCTTCTAGTGCATAACCTCAAAGAGTCATAGAGATAGATTAGAGAGAGATAGGGAGAGGGCAGATAGAGAGAGGCAGAGAGAGACTGAGAGAGAGCATAGAGAGAGGTTAGGGTATTTGTGAGATCAATTATGATTTCTGAAGTGAAGGAAGAGTTCAATTTGATATTTGGGTCTAGTTGGGAACCCAAACCTAAACCCATGAAATACCCAAATAAAAAACACAATATTGGCTAATGACCGATATATTGGCCGATATCACGCTCTAACTCTGTAAATATTGGTGCGGGCTACTGTAGAACCTGATATATGTGTCCATGTATTGGTATATCGATATATATTTTATACACTGCATCTAAGAATCAGTTAGCAGGTCTCTTTAGAAAGCCCCTTGGAAAAAAGGGTAGTTTTTATTTGTGACAACTCGGGCATGTATGATATGATGTTCTAGCTTGATGGGCAGTATTTAGAGGGAGATGCATATTTTTTTTTTAGTTTAGTCCTACATTGTGGGTTATTATTGTAACCTTCTTACTAGTATAAGTAAAGAGTCCATGCTTGTCAACTTTTGCTTTTTTATCATAGTTTAATAGATTTCTTATATCGTAAACCATGCATTGGACCGAAATATGGATGGATATGGTTGGTTCACTCTAAGTCTTGGAAGGTGAGTCTGGCTATCTGGGTCATTTTAACACTAATATTTATTGCCCATTATTGGCATAAAATTCAATATGTACTTCAAATTAGAGCAACATTTGGACATTCATAAAATTTGGATATTCATAAAATTTATTAAACATTAGTGCGATTTTGTAAAAATGGACCAAAGCAATTTCTTTTTAGCAAGTGTTGAATAAACATATGACTTCCGAGTCTTGTATACAAATTTTCTAAGTTTCTTTTTTATTTGAATTGAAATATCAAATTTATTATTATTCGTTCTTTCTGTCATTCTCGTGTTAACATCTTCTGCTTCTTATGTACGGCCTTTGCCATCAAACAACCAGTGAATATCATGGTTTTGAAGATGTTTTAACTTCAAACCAATGAAAAGCTAAAAAATTCTGTCTTTTTCTATTAATAATGTGTGCTACCATTAACTTCTTACTTGAGTTGTCAAATATTATTAGCAATTAAATGCAAATATTTGCTTTTCTTGGTTGAGCATTTTGTTATTATATGATGAATTGGAGATATCTAGCTATCATCCATTCTCTAGTTTTCTTGTGTATAATCTTTGTTTTAATGCTTTGCAGTTATTTGAAAAGAGGAGTGAATGATAGAGGTAGAGTTGCAAATGATGTTGAAACTGAACAAATTATTCTAGATGAAGAAGTTGGCTCGTGCAGGGGAAAAATGAGTTCAGTTGTCCAGATGCGGGGCTCAATTCCCCTTTTTTGGTCCCAAGAAGCTTCAAGATTTAGTCCTAAGCCTGATATTATTTGTATGTCCTTTTTTAATAAACAAGTAACAACATTAAAAACAAATGCGCAAATTAGAATATGGTTGTCTTCTAGAAGCAAAGATTTGAAATTCTCTTATTTCTACATATTTTCAGTGCAGAGATATGATCCTACGTACCAGGCAACCCAGTCACATTTTGAAGATTTGGCAAATAGATACGGAAATCCTATAATTGTGCTTAATTTAATAAAGGTGCATGACTGCTCTTGATTAGTATACCTCCTTTCATTGGCCCATTTGTAGCCAACTGCAGTAAACTAGCTGTCTATTATATGGTTTCTCTCCATTTTATGTTTTGTTTATAGAAAAAGTTTATTCCCATATCTTTGTTTACAGTTTGAAAATAGATCCATGTGATTATTATCACTAGATACCTACATATACTATACATATACATATACAAATACATGCACATGTATGCATGCGCACGTGCATGTGTACATGTGTGTGATGTGCATGTACATGTGCGATATTTGGGTCTAGTTGGGAACCCAAACCTAAACCCATGAAATACCCAAATAAAAAACACAATATTGGCTAATGACCGATATATTGGCCGATATCACGCTCTAACTCTGTAAATATTGGTGCGGGCTACTGTAGAACCTGATATATGTGTCCATGTATTGGTATATCGATATATATTTTATACACTGCATCTAAGAATCAGTTAGCAGGTCTCTTTAGAAAGCCCCTTGGAAAAAAGGGTAGTTTTTATTTGTGACAACTCGGGCATGTATGATATGATGTTCTAGCTTGATGGGCAGTATTTAGAGGGAGATGCATATTTTTTTTTTAGTTTAGTCCTACATTGTGGGTTATTATTGTAACCTTCTTACTAGTATAAGTAAAGAAGTCCATGCTTGTCAACTTTTGCTTTTTTATCATAGTTTAATAGATTTCTTATATCGTAAACCATGCATTGGACCGAAATATGGATGGATATGGTTGGTTCACTCTAAGTCTTGGAAGGTGAGTCTGGCTATCTGGGTCATTTTAACACTAATATTTATTGCCCATTATTGGCATAAAATTCAATATGTACTTCAAATTAGAGCAACATTTGGACATTCATAAAATTTGGATATTCATAAAATTTATTAAACATTAGTGCGATTTTGTAAAAATGGACCAAAGCAATTTCTTTTTAGCAAGTGTTGAATAAACATATGACTTCCGAGTCTTGTATACAAATTTTCTAAGTTTCTTTTTTATTTGAATTGAAATATCAAATTTATTATTATTCGTTCTTTCTGTCATTCTCGTGTTAACATCTTCTGCTTCTTATGTACGGCCTTTGCCATCAAACAACCAGTGAATATCATGGTTTTGAAGATGTTTTAACTTCAAACCAATGAAAAGCTAAAAAATTCTGTCTTTTTCTATTAATAATGTGTGCTACCATTAACTTCTTACTTGAGTTGTCAAATATTATTAGCAATTAAATGCAAATATTTGCTTTTCTTGGTTGAGCATTTTGTTATTATATGATGAATTGGAGATATCTAGCTATCATCCATTCTCTAGTTTTCTTGTGTATAATCTTTGTTTTAATGCTTTGCAGTTATTTGAAAAGAGGAGTGAATGATAGAGGTAGAGTTGCAAATGATGTTGAAACTGAACAAATTATTCTAGATGAAGAAGTTGGCTCGTGCAGGGGAAAAATGAGTTCAGTTGTCCAGATGCGGGGCTCAATTCCCCTTTTTTGGTCCCAAGAAGCTTCAAGATTTAGTCCTAAGCCTGATATTATTTGTATGTCCTTTTTTAATAAACAAGTAACAACATTAAAAACAAATGCGCAAATTAGAATATGGTTGTCTTCTAGAAGCAAAGATTTGAAATTCTCTTATTTCTACATATTTTCAGTGCAGAGATATGATCCTACGTACCAGGCAACCCAGTCACATTTTGAAGATTTGGCAAATAGATACGGAAATCCTATAATTGTGCTTAATTTAATAAAGGTGCATGACTGCTCTTGATTAGTATACCTCCTTTCATTGGCCCATTTGTAGCCAACTGCAGTAAACTAGCTGTCTATTATATGGTTTCTCTCCATTTTATGTTTTGTTTATAGAAAAAGTTTATTCCCATATCTTTGTTTACAGTTTGAAAATAGATCCATGTGATTATTATCACTAGATACCTACATATACTATACATATACATATACAAATACATGCACATGTATGCATGCGCACGTGCATGTGTACATGTGTGTGATGTGCATGTACATGTGCGTGTACATGTGCATATGCATTTACATGTGCACGTACACGTGCCTACACGTACAATTTCACGTGCATGCACATGTACAAATATACATGCATGCATATGCAGACACATACATATACATATGATGCATATGCATATCGTGTACATTTACATTAATTTATATATATGTATATACATATGATGCATATACACATGCAATTCGCTCTTAAACTTATATGAAACCAAATTGATATTGCAACATTTATGCCATTCTTTTGAAGTCAAATATCGGTCTGTATATCGGAAAAAGCATAATATATTGCCAAAAAATTGCCCAAAGCAGTATATGACACTGAAACCATATCGTTTTGCTGCAAGCCTTATAAAATAACTTATTGGCTGATATGTTTGCCATGTTGGCCGGTATTTTAGACAACATATATTACCTAATAGGCTAGCTGGTGTATAGGAGAATGTAATAGGGGACGGCTGTGGGGGATGGCTATGGGGATGGTAACGGCAGTTGAAAGAGGAATAGGAAAGAAAACTAAGTTTTGGTTGAGTTTTTTCAAGAATCATTTTTTTACATGACACCAATATCAGATGTAATTCGGCCTCACGTTTGGATCAATGTCTTCATACCTATATTACTTGAGTACTTCTATCTCAGCGTCGTACCCGTAGTTGACACGTACTCGTACCCAAACTCTTTGGGCACTCCTGGCATATATGCATACATTTGTACATTTAGCATCTACTCAATTATACAATATTTGTTGTAGCTTCTTAATTTAAGACACTTGTCATACATTTTCTGAATGTATATCCTACACTTCACATCAACTTCTTGAAACTTGTTGGACATTAGTTAGATTCGATCTATGATTTTAAAATCATAGGTTCAGATCTATGATTTTAAAATCATAGGTTCAGAACTATGATTTTAAACGGTTGTTTAGATGTCTAGTTCAAAAACTAGCGATTTTTCAATTTATAATCCACATAATAAAAGAAACATAAAAATGTTATGGGGATTTTAATTCTCATAACGCATGAATGAAAACAATATTGATCTAATGTAAATTTATTAATTCCAATATATAATATGTATATGTGTATATAAACATCTATATAGCCGTGTCTCCGTGCCCTACTTTTTACAAATTTTCAATGTCCCATCCCCATAGCGGTATCCGTACCCATGCAACATAGCTTCAAATTAATTAAAGGTCTTGCATCTTCAAAACTAGGTTCACACATCCAAGATTACATAACACAGGTTTATAAATCGTAACATAAATATTTGCATAACTTTATTGAAGAAACTAGGCTTTATAAACTTACAGAACCTGATTATCAAGAAACTCATCATCAATAAGGAAAATTTCTAATCTAACCAAGATAAATTTTTCATTATAATCATGCTCTAAAAGGATTCCTCAATCAATTAAAACCTCTTACTAATAATCTACATATTTAGACTAAGGTTATAAGATTTCTACAAAAAGCAAAATTCTAATACTAATGAAGTTCTGAATTATGTTTTGCATTTTTCATCATCAATTCCTTTATGATTTTCCAAAAAGGAAGTTGACGTATATCAAATCTCCCCTGGTTGACCTTGAGCTGAAGTTGGATATCATGAAGAAATTTGAATCAATATAGTTGACTCAAGTTGACTGTAACATGTTCATCATTAAAATTATTCACTGATGATTGTTCTGCAGTAAAAGTCTTAACATTGGACTAATGATCGATATCAAACCTAAGATGGTGGATCTCTTTAGCTCTTATACCTAATAATGGGGGACGGTGGCTAGGCAGTGTTAGCAGACTGATGAAGATTAAATAAACCAGGGTTTAGAGTTTGTTTTGGAACCTTTTATTGACACTGCACTATTCTTAGTTGTAATTTGTCATCAAGCTTGGATCAACGAGTTACTTGTTGATCAAGGTCTCAGGCTTGAAAACTAGGATTAAACAGCCAACATTGCATCACACAATATGACAAATAAATTTATACAAAATTCCTCATAGCTTTGTTGAAGAAAATTAGTCTTTATAGACTAAAACTTGATAATAATAAAAACAAATCTTTAGTAAGGAAAAATTTAAATCATACTTACATTTTATAGAGAAGGTTACAAGAGAATTTCTACTAAAACCAAAATTCCAATGCTATAATAAGTTTTGGCCTTATATTGTCTTTTTTTTTTTTTCTATCTGTTCCTTTGTTATTTTCAGGAGGAACTTATCCTACATAATCCATGTGCTTGTCTAGTTACTTTCAGAATTTGCATTATCATCCGTGTGCTTGTATGAATGCATTCAGTAGACATATAAACCTATATAAACTTGCAGGAGGTAAAATTTATCTATTTGTTTTTATAGCATTTCAAGTGCTTTTCTTTTATATTCTCTCCTCTTACTTTGTTAGTAATTGAAATTTTTTTGGACTATTGTTCTTTCACATGTACATCTTTGAAAAATTGAATGCTTGTTCCTCTTAACTGTACCCATTTGGATATCATCCTGAGTTATGTGGTGAATTATGGGTTCTGGAGGCAAAGTTAAGATTAATGTTCCACCCCTGGAAAACTGGCGAATTGTACTAGTACGTGCTTTTTTCTGATAAGCTTAAACCACATAATAAGGATAAAATGTTTATACAATATAGTGTCTATAATCTGAAAATACAATATGATCAAACACCCCCAAGCCCCCTCAACCCGCGCCTCCCCCCTTCCCGGCGCCAAAAAAGAAAAAAGAACCCCCACAAAAATGGCCATCAACACTCCCAATTCCATGGCGGGGATTTTATGAAGCAGGTCATTATAGCTAAATATATAAGAAAAAGTAATTGTATATGACATCACACCCACACCCACAAAAATGGCCATTGACACTCCCAGTTCCTTGGCTGGGATTTCATGAAACAGGTCATTATAGCTAAATATATAAGAAAAAGTAATTGCATGACACTTTCACTCTGTCAGCCTTATTTGGTAGTATGATCATCTATCAGTCAAGTTTACAACCATTTCAAACATTCCCATGTGCTACGTTTCTGGTATGCAAATTCTGCATGTTTAAAATAGTTTTTTAATGATTATAATTTAATATTGGTGATATCTCAATGTCACTATTTGTTAAATATCTCAATATCACTATTTGTCATTTTTCTTGAGATTAAAATTATTTCCCCCTCTGCCCCCACAATGCCCATATTCCCACCCCAAGAAAGAAGGAGAGATGAAGATGTTTTGTCTAGTTGACTTCTGGAAAACTTTGACTCCTTTCCTAACCAATGAAATATATAATCCATTCAGACTGTTGAAAAAAGGCCTCGAGAAATGATGCTACGACGTGAATTCGCTAATGCTGTTGGGTACCTTAACCAGATTCTCCCAGAAGAAAGCCATTTGAAGTTTATTCATTGGGATTTCCATAAGTTCGCGAAAAGGTAGTTGCTTCTTAAGTAACTTCTTAATACTATTTGATGAGTTCCAACTCTTTGGACAACTAATCATTTACATTCTTTTTTCCATCAGCAAATCTGCCAATGTTTTGGCGGTTTTGGGTGCCGTAGCAAGTGAAGCACTTGATTTAACTGGTTTTTACTATAGTGGAAAGCTTAACACAGTCAGAGGAAAGTCAACTCATAGTCGGACAAACATCATGAGGTATGCACTTTTCTTTCTTTTTCAACAGAAATGTTACAACTGCTTTAACCTTCCTTATAGTCACCAAATATGAACGTTGTCTCTGATTTTGAAGGGTTGCATATGATTCTGTAATATTCTTTGTTTCATCTTGTCGAATACCTTCTTTGATTGAATTCTCTTGGTTGTGATATCATTGATATTTTGCTCTATTATTATGGGCTTATTGTTTTCTTAACATTTTAGCAAAGAATTCACATACCTTGACAAACGTACAAAGTGAAAAGTTACTTTTAGAATTTTCAAAAGTTTCGGGATTTATATTTATGTTAATATTAACTGCAACTGATTGATATTGACGAACATTTGCCATTCTTATGTGAATATCTATGTTAATGTTAAAATGTAACTATGAATTATGTCATGCAATTTGAAAATATAACTAGGACAATTTGTTAAACATAACTTTGTTTTCTGATAAATTGTAATATGTTTAGTTTTCATGCGGAGACCGTATTTGAATTTTTTGTATATAATGCAGGGATACTTCCCTTGGTGAATTTAGGACCAATTCAGCAGATCTTGCAAGGTCAGTTAGTAGTGAAACTTCAAATCCAGTTGCTAATCAGAATGGAGGACAAGATGCACGACAACAATGTTGGATGGCTGATGGCCCACGTTTCCAGAGTGGAGTTCTCCGCACTAACTGCATTGACTGTTTAGACCGTACAAATGTTGCACAATATGCTTATGGCCTAGCAGCTTTAGGTCGTCAACTTCATGCAATGGGTTTGACAGATGTTCCTAAGGTGGATCCTGATAGCACCATTGCTCAAGCACTCATGGATATGTACCAAAGTATGGGTGATGCACTTGCTCAGCAATATGGAGGCTCTGCAGCACATAATACTGTACGCACTGCTTGTCTGATTGTTTATTAGGCCTTCTTCCATCACTTTTAATGTACTGGATGACCATTTCTTTTGTCATTCATTTATCAGTTTAGTGTAACACTGTAGTTAGCTATGTCCAGGTGTTCCCTGAAAGACAAGGTAAATGGAAGGCTACTACCCAGTCTCGTGAGTTTTTGAAATCCATCAAGAGATATTACAGCAATGCCTACACGGATGGCGAAAAGCAAGATGCCATTAACTTGTATTGTGCTTCCCTAGATTGTCTAGTCCATCATAACAGTTTGCTGCTTTTCATACTATGCACTTAATGTTTTAAGTTTGTTGGAGAGTACTTGTCTCCGATATCATTTTGGTTTTCTGTTCATCTTTGTTTCTCATATTTTGGTGGTCCTACTAGATTTTTGGGTTATTTCCAACCTCAAGACGGAAAAGCAGCGCTGTGGGAGCTGGACTCGGACTATTATCTTCATGTTTCTGGGACTGGTGATGAGATAATTCCCACCATCCCTAGAAGGTACTTGAAAATTTGATCTTTATTTTTTTGGGTGGTGGCTGTATCCGAATATTTGAGCATTTATTCTTTTCGCTAAGTTTTCTCATATGTCTTGCTTGAGCTTTATGCTTGATGATTTCTCAGTGTACCACTTGATACAACATCCATGGAGAGAAAAGGATTTCTTCTTGCACCAATTCCAGCTTGCAAACAAGACTTCCAGCGCATGAAGTTGACATCATTTGATAAACTTATGGAGAGAACATGCAGTTTGATAAAGAATGTGAGGCTTTTTACTGAATTTGATGTGAAAGCTACTGGTAATGCAGGAAATACGGGAATGGCACCAGATGCAGCGTACGCTCTTCAACCTATGACACTTTGTTCTGGTTTTATTAATCTAAAGTTGCGATTCTCATGTCATTTTTTATTTAAGAAACCCTTCTAACATGAGAGCATACATTTTAAAGTACTGCTATAGTAAACTTCAAATTTAAAATGGAATATTAGCAAAACGTTCTGCTATGGTTTTACCATATAATTAGCTTAGAAGTACATATCATAATAACACAAAAGGATCCCTTACTTATATTATTACTTGTTTACAGTATATCATGACATGAGATGTTCCTTCATTATGCCCACTTAATGTATCACACTATCAATTCAACTGCACAAAATTTTTTTAATCATGCCAAGCATCTCAATTCTCACTTTGAGACATTTTGGAATGGAAACTTAGGGCTACGGTTGGCCTGTACAATGCTATGCCTCATCTTCTCTACTCCCTGTCATGTGGTCATACATGTGATACTATAGCAAAGTAAACTGTGGTTCAATGTGAGTCCAAACGGGAAGTGATATCTATCATGTTAACTCAAGTTCGGAGAATACATAGATATATAACTCCTATTACCTTTGTTTGAACACCCCCTGTCAATTTTGAGCATAATTAGTTATGAAAAATTGAGACTTGTAGGGGAAACCTTAAGGAGCACATTAAAAGTACAAATCTCTCCTCTTTCCAAGAAACTAAAAATAAAAAGATGGGGAAATAAAAGGAAAAGTCATATCTTTTTCTTTCAACATTTATCACCGTCCACATATTTCGACCTCAGTGGCACTGACAGCATAGTTATATTATATTCCATGTTTTATTTATGCGCCCTCGTCAAAGTTGAGCATGTTTATTGAAAAAGGAGACTGGGCAAGAAAAGCTTGGGAAGCGCTATACAAGCGGCTCTCTCAGTAGGAGGGGAAAAAAAGATTTAGCCTTCTTTGGTCAAATGTGAAGGTATTCATTGGCTATACTTTTGGGCTGTGACATTGGATTATCATTAGACAGTCACATGATAAGCTTGAGAGAGAAAATCTTGATGAATGATACATACTAGTTCTAACACTGGAGCACTCTGTGCTTTCTGATTCTCTGCTTGATCCAACTTGACTCACCTCAGTTGTTAGTCCAGGTTGTTTTGCTCAATCCTGTTGGCTATCATGGCCTGGACTTCCATCCATTGTCATCAGTGGCAGTAACATAAGGTCAACCTGCATATATCCCAACTTGTCTTACCCTTTTGCACTGATATTTAAATCAGTTCCCATCTCAAAGCAGTGCAGCAAACCATCTGCAGAGTTTGATACCCTTTGTTACGCTCCCTAAGTAATAGGTACCCTCCTTATAGCACAGAAGCTTTTGCACACCGTACTGGATTCACTAAAATATGTCATTTGAGTGCAGGATAATTTTGACCATTGTGGTAACCCTGACTTTACTTGGCTATAGTTTACTTTCTATGGAGAGCACCATTTTGGAGGATTGATGTTAAGCTGGTAAAGTTACGAGTACTGACTGATGAACCCATTCTGAACATAGAAAAGGCTTAGATGGTGATTTCTAGTCGTTTACATGTGCTAATATAATTTTTATCAGTTATAAAGTTTTTCAATTTGACATAAGTTTCTCCTTGTGCAGTGTATATAATAGATATTGAAAGATATGTCCCAGGTGTTCTTTCTTTACATCTGTTGCCACCTTGGAATTTTTTAATTGGATCTTTATTTTTAAATGTTCTGATGCAGTGAAATACAACTTAAAAGTCCTAACTGGTTGTTTGGTCAAAGAAAGTACGAGGAAAGCCCACCCGCTCCTAAACTTGCAGCAAGTGAAAATGCGAAAGGGGGCCATCAAAATGAGTTACGTGTTGATGGTTATTCTGGCTTGAATTGGCTATCCTTTGCTGAAGATGTCTGTGAGGAGGATATCGTCCAAAGGTACCAATTCTTTCTAAGCAAAGAATGAAAAACTTCTACGTTCTCTCTTTGCTGTCACTGATTAATATTTGGTATTGTGAATATGAATTCGCTGATCACCTGTATAGTTTTGTAGCTAACTTCATCCATGAACTATATCACGGAGGAGTAGATGTTCTATGAGTTGGTTGATTGAATTATTTTCTAAGAAACAAATTTTATTGTATACATAGAAAATAATATGGGTAATAAGTACAACATCTTAAAATCATTCAGGGCACGGTAAAGTTTGATCAGAGTATATCAAATGAAGCGGTAACTTGGTAGGTCCAATGGTCATATGCTCTGTTTGTTGTTTCTGTTAGGAAAGATAATATCTTAAGTAGCCTCTGACTAATATTAACTCAGAGTTGAAAGGTATTGTGTGCCTATTGTGTATCTATTTTGACTTTTTCCTGCCCATGTTTTAAGTAGCTAGAATGCAAGATCACGAAAATGTCGTGGGAGGATCATACTGTTTTTAATATCATGTTCCAACGAGTGGATTCTAACTTTATTTGCCTTGAAATCTAGGAATAAATGACTTGATCCTTTTGTGAGCACTGGGGCCCTCTTATGCATAGGCAAGAGACCGATATCATTTATTTTGTCGTTTTTTAGATGCTGTTATCTTTTATATTAAGGTCAATGCTGTAGTTTGCACCCCCCTCCCCCCTCCCCCTCTCACCCTCTTGAGTATATATGTCCAGGCAAGCGCCTGAAAAAGTAGTAAAAACTGTTTCTTTCTTTTGTTGTTTCTCTATTGTGAGAGGTGGCCGTGCCCATTGTCTACCTCAATTTGACCTTGGCACCCCCACCTTCCCTCGGCATTGGGGTGCCTAAGCAACAATTTTTCTTTAGGCAACCTACTTAATTAGGCTGCCAAATAGATGTTTAAAAAAATCAGACTTCATAAAGAAAACCTAAACCCAATTATTGAAATCTAAAATCCAAACCCATTAACCCGAAATGCAGTCTCAACATCTTCTCTTCCAAACTCAATAATGTAAAACCAAACCCAATAACTAAAACCCAAAATCCAAACCCAAACCCAATCTTAATATTATCCCTCAAACTGCAGCCCCCCCGGATCAACTAGGGATAAGCCCTAGCCTCCTAAAGAGTTCCTGCCTTCTCATTTCTCCTCTCTTCGCAGATGTTTTGTCGTCAATTTGCGACCAGTGATTACATCTCATCATATCTGATTACTCTACAACATTCAAGACATAAAAATTAGGTAATGCCAGTGTTATCAATGGTGCATCGGGGTGCGCCCCTTGTGTGTCGTGCTTCGCTTCGCTCACAGAGCACCCCACATCTTGTGAAGTTGTTTGAGTCATTCTGTTTATGCAATTGAAAATTCTAATCAAGCATATAGAAACTGGATTCTATACCACTATTAGTTTATGTGCATTGATAGGAAAGTATGTAGATGCAACTAACACTGGTCATTTTCAGGTATCTTCTAATGATATCTGCCGATGGAGCCAACAATTGGTATGGTGGCGCACTAATTTACGATCAAGACAGTAACAGTGAGGTTTACAAGCATTATGCTGAGCTATGTCAGGTAACTTTTCCAACTTGTCTTCTTCATTGCGTCAACATGTTATTATTGAAAGTTTTACAGAGTAGCTGCTAATCTTTCCTTATTCTAATTTGCATGACATATACTTCGTGATTTGTCCGTCTAATCTTTATTATGAAAAAAGTGTTCTTTTGAATTTAACTATCAAACTGTTTGTCCCAATATGCGTAATTATTTTTTTTTTTTCACTTTGGCTTGTGTTAGAAGAAAGTATGAGTATTAGTTTAGCATTAGTTTAGTACCACATTGCCTGTGAGACTAATTTGTAACTAATCCATCTCTATAAATAATAAAATATAGAGTGGGGAATACTCCCTAAGAAACTATTCTCTCCAAATCTCAACATGGTATCAGAGCCTGTCCCTAACCCTAGGCAACCGGACTCTCTCTAAAACTCTAGCCGTAAAAACCCTAGCCACTTTCTCCAAAACCCTAGCTGCCTCTCTCCAAAACCTTAGCGGTAAAACGGCGCAGTCGTCTTATCGTCCTCGCATCGTCTTTCGCCCTCATCTTCCTCGACAATCCTCGTCCTCGTCCATCCGATCACGTCCTCATCCTCAAGCTTCTCTCACCCGACCGACAACTCCACCCGACGCCGTCCGCCTGTGATGCGCCGCCGCCATGAAGCCTGTCGCTCGCCGCAACGCCAATGCCCGCCGCTTGTCGCTCTCTTTTTATTTTCAGATCTGAATCAGATCTGCGAGTTGTCCTGTAAAAAAAAAAACTTCGGGTTTCATCTTAACCTTCGGGTTTTTGATCTTTAACCTTCGGGTTTCATGTTAATCTTCGGGTTCTTGCACTTTAACCTTCGGGTTCAAAATTAAACATTCGGGTTCTTGGACTTGTTCAACCTACTAGCTAATTCAAGACTTATTTTCTTGAACGTGCACATACTTTGATTGTTTCCATTTTGGAGCATAACTTGTGGAGGATATTGTCTTGAATTTTACTCGTCTGTTTCATGATGGTCGGATCTGAGGTACTCAAGAATTCTGAGTTAACGGTCCAGACGAAAGTTTCAGAGATATTTTCTGATAGAATCACTGACCGGAAACTTGATGAAATTAATTATTTCTAGTGAAAGCGTGTTATTGAAATCTACGTGGCGGGGTGAGGCAAAACTAGTCATTTGTTGACAGATCCTCCTACTCCGACACCGGAATCTTGGACATTGGACGATAATGTCCTCTTGCATCAACTTCTTAATACTATGGAGTCTAAAATTCAGGATTTAGTTCTTCATTGTATGACAATGATGAAACTTTAGTGTTTTTTTTGTAAGATCTCTATATGGGTAGCAGCAATATTAATCGGACATATGAAGTAATTCAAGAACTAAATCCTAAGAAACAGGATGGTGAACCCATGAATGATCATTATGGTGAGTTCAATCATTTGTCTGAGGAACTGTCAAAATTTTCTTATTACTGGGGATGTAAAACAAATGCAGAACTAATAGAACAAACTTATGGTACTCACCTACTTAGGCACCCTAAATTCTATTTACTCCTCTGCTCGACCACATGTCATGGGGAGCTCCGTCATTAGTTCTCTAGCTGAGACTTATCACTTCTATGAAGAACGCTGTCCCTACACAGCCACTCGCATCCACTGCGGATCGATCTACGCTTGCCACTCAGAGTTGGCAGTCTTATGGACGAGGAGATCATACTGGTGGTCTTAGAAGAGGTTGAGGAAACTTTAAAGGGAAAGGAGGTTACCACACTGGTCATTCTGGGGGCCGAGGTGATCAACGAGGTGACTGTAAAGGTCTATCTCAAAACAGACATGCTCATGGCGATGACTCAGTGAAGACTTGTAACTACTGTCACCAATCATGACATCTCAAATATAATTATCCTGAATTGAAAAAGAAGAAGGTCAATGGTGCTTACATGACCGCTCAGGACAACCTCACTTTATCTGATAGTAAAATTCAACCACAGTTACTCTTTCATGATACAGAGCGGCAACGTCAATTTCAGTAATTTTAATTATTTCATCAGTACCAAAGTTCACAAACATCGTCTTCCTTCTTTATCTACTACTCTCAAAAGTGCATGTACCCCTTTATCTTTACTTACATCGTCTTCGTCTCATACTTGAATTATAAATACATGTGCCACTAATCATATGACTGAGAACTAATGTATCCTGTCATTTTTCTCTCATACATCTAATTCAGTTATATTAGCTGATGGTTCACGTATACCTGTTTAGGGTGTCGGCAACACCAATCCTACCACTAGTCTTCCATTTTCCTCCATATTCTATCTTTCTAGTTTTTCTATAACCTTTTATTTGTTAGTAAGATTACTAAGTTACTAAACTATACTGTGACATTCTTCCCCACACATTGTGTCTTACAGGACCTGTTCACGAGAAAAACCATTGGGACGGGACATGAGCAGAACGACCATTATAAACTGGACTTGGACGCCAAATATTTAGCTTGTATCGGAATTTATCAGCTCTACAATACCATTGTCAGCAAGGCATCCCTCTCTCTGGTCTCAAGCTTCTAAATTCTCAGTTCAAATATCTTTACTCATTAGAGTGTGAGTCGTGTCAACTTGGCAAATATCATCGTGTCTTATCCTAATCGAATCAATAAGAGGGCTACTAAGCCATTTGATCTTGTTCATTCTGATGTCTGTGGGTCATGCCCAATAACTTCTAAATTGAGATTCCGATACTTTATCAGTTTTGTGGATGATCACTCTCGTGTTACTTGGATTTATTTTCTCAAGTCTAGGTCTGAAGTCTTTTCTACTTTTGAACTCTTTTATTCTGAAATAGTCAATCAATTCAGGACTTCGATAAAAAATTTTCAATCTGATAATGCAAAGGAATATTTAGATGACAACTTCACTAGTTTCCTTGAACAACATGGAATCAATCATCAGTCTTTTTGTGTTTACACTCAGCAAAATAGAGTTGCTGAACGAAAAAATAGACATCTCATTGATATTGCTTGGACCTTGCTATTCCATCGCCGTATTCCCAAAGAATTTTGAGGGGAAACTATCTTAACAACATGTTACTTGATTAATCGAATTCTCTCTTTTTTTTTACAATATAAAATTCCTTTCCAAGTTCTATACCCTAACGATGATCTCTTTTCGCTTCCTCCAAGGATTTTTAGCTCTCTGTGCTTTGTTCATAATCACAGTCCAAATAAATAAAAGTTTGACTCGGTTTATTAAATGCATTTTTCTTGGCTACCTCTTAAAGCATAAAGGTTACAAGTGTTTCTGTTCGTCACTTAATCGTCTTGTGTTATCTGCTGATGTAACATTCTTTGAAGATAAACCTGGTCATTCAAGTTCTCCATCTCCATTATCACCGCATGAGTATGACTATTTAATCCTACAAGAGTCATTAGCTAACGGTGGTGGTTCATCCGCTGACAATACTATTTACGCTACTGGCAAAGACTCAGCTCGGTTTAACGACCCAATTCAAGTTTATCATCGTCACTATGCTCCTGCTCCTGTGCCAACGTCCGCCTCAACACCACGTCCTCCGCCCGAAGAACCCGAGTCAGTAAGTGTAAATTTACCTCCTTTTGCAGAAGACCTTATTGCACTTCGAAAAGAGATAAACTTGTACTCAACATCCTATTTTTAACTTTGTCTCCTATGACCGCCTATCCTCAACCTTTCGATCTTTTGTTACTTTCCTCGACTCATTTGGTTCTCAAGAATGTGTCAGAACCCTTGTCTATTCTAGGTTGGAACCAAGCGATGTAGGACGAAATGAGGGTCTTGTAGCAGAATGAGACTTGGGATTTGGTCTCACTTCCATCAGGAAAGTGGCCCATTAGTTGCAAGTGGGTGTACACTGCCAAGTTGAATCCTGCTGGAACTTTATCATGTCTGAAAGCCCGACTGGTTGCTAAAGGCTATTCACAGGTATATGACTTGGATTACGTAGATACTTTCTCTCCGGTGGTAAAAATGACATCTAATCGGATTTTTTTTTCGTTAGCAGCGACAAATCACTAGCCACTTCATCAGTTGGACATCAAGAATGCATTCCTTAATAGTATTCTAGATGATGAGGTTTACATGGAGCAACCATCGGGTTTTGTTGTCCAGGGGGAGAATGCGAAAGTGTAGGCTGAATAAATCACTCTATGGTCTGAAGCAGTCTCTGAGAGACTGGTTTGGATGTTTTGCATCAGTTATTTAGGAATTTGGGTTTTGTCGTACACAGAAAGATCACTCTGTCTTCTGACGATTTCAGAATGAGGAACGAATTCTGTTGGTTGTCTATGTGGATGACATTGTAATTACAGGGGATGATGCTTCTTGTATTGACAGCTTGAAATGGAGGGTATTTACAGACACATTTTCAAACTAAAGATTTTGGTTCTCTAAAATACTTCCTAGGTATTGAAGTTGCAAAGTCAACGAAGGGTATTTTTCTATCACAAAGAAAGTATATCCTGGATATGCTCTCAGAAGCCATGATGTTAAGGATACAGAAACAGTAATTCTCCAATGGATGTGAACTCAAAACTACTACCAGACCAGTGAAAGCTTCTTGAGGATGTTGGGCAGTATAGGAGATTGGTAGGAAAACTGAATTATCTGACGGTGACCAGACTTGACATCACATTCGCAGTCAATGTTATGAGTCAGTTCTTATCCGCACCAAGAACTACTCACTTGGATACAATAATGGGAATTTTGAGGTACTTGAAAAAGGCTTCAGGACGAGGAATTCTCTACTCAGATCAAGGACACACCAGAGTTACAAGCTTCTCTGATGCAGATTGGACTAGATGTCCTTTTGATAGCAGATCGACTACTGGATATTGTGACTTTCTTAGAGGAAATTTGGTGTCATGGAAGAGTAAGAAGCCAAGTGTTGTCTCGTTCCAGTGTAGAATCAAAATACAGAGCTATTATAAATGTGACACTAGAGATGGTTTGGATCAGAGACCTATTGATAGAGATTGGTCTCCCTCCAGAATGTCCCATGAATCTATATGACGATAATAAAGTAGCAATTCACATTGCTGAGAATCCTGTGTTTCATGAGAGAACCAAACACATTGAAGTCGACTGTCATGTAATCCGCAAGAAGCTCGAGGACAAAATCATCACGGCAAAACATGTATGGACAATACATCAGTTGGCTGACATTCTTACAAAACCACTTGGTCGAACACAAGTGGACTTTATTAGTGACAAGCTGGGCATAATGCCGCTCCAGCTTGAGGAGTGTTAGAAAAAAGTATGAGTATTAATTTAGCATTAGCTTAGTACAACATTGCTTGTGAGACTAATTTGTAACTAATCCATCTCTATAAATAATAAAGTATAGAGTGAGGGGAGGACTCCCCAAGAAACTCTTTTCTCTCCAAATCCCAACAGCTTGAAAATTCCATTTCGTAATATTCAGTGTTAAATGGCCAATCTTATCGATATATTGCAGATAAATTGGGTTTGGACCATAGTCAATATGATTTCTGGAAAATTTACTCGCTTATCGTTTAACCGATTCCCTTCGATATATTAGTGAAAATCCAATTAATCAGCCGATTTTATAGGGGCGGTTATCAGCCAATTTTGTCAAAAAAACATCAACTGTTGTTGGGTTTTAGGTCACAAGACCTTTATTTTTCAGACCCGAACTCGATACCCTCTAAATTAAACTAGAAACAATCCTACATTCCCACTTTCCCATAGCTTTTAGAGCAGCTAGCCCTAATTTCTCTCCGTCTCCTACACTCTATCCCCAAATTCAATCGTTCGATGACCCCAAGTCCCTCTCTCGAAGGCGTTCAAACTTGATGTCAACCGTAAGTCCCTCAAAGCTCTCTCAAAGCTTGACCATCGAAGAGTCTCAACCACTGAAGACTCTCTCCAAGCTCGACAACCTGAGGCCCTCAAAGCTCTCTCGACCACCGAAGAGTCCCTCAAAACTTGGAACTTTGAAGACTCAAAATTCAACCCTCGAAATAGGTACAAAGATTTCTTTTCTGTTTTTTAAAAAGTTCTTTCTTCAATTTGTTGCTGACTACAGCAATCGATTGAACTGATTGAAGAGAGGACCAACGTAAGAAAAAAGGATAAATTTCGGATTGTTGTGAGTTTGAACCCAACCTGTTCCTCTTAGTTATGCAGTGAGAATGTGTTTTATTTGTTTCGCTGGTTAATTGATCGCTTGGCTAGTTAGTGATCTTAAACATGTGTTATTTACATTTTAGTATGTTTATATTTCATAAAATGTGCTTACATGCCATTGTAGGACAATATATTATATATGCTCACTACCTGATGTGACATTTCGATTTTTACTACTTATCCCGATATATCCTCGATAACTAGGATCTAATATGAATTTTTGGCCATCTGATATATTTCCGATAACTGATATTTAAAGCCTTGGCAATATTGTGTTTCGGATTTATCCGTACTGAACCAGGGAAATATATTTTTAGCTCATGTTGGGATGAATTCAGTGATTTTAAATTAACAGATTTGGAAATTATATTGTCAAAATACAAATTTGAATGTAATTTGTTTCTCTATGGTATTTAAAAAAAAATCAGTTTACCTTCTGATCACCAACAAATACCTCAGTTTGAAGTAAATCCTTCTTAAGATTTCCCTGTTTAGCGTGTCTGTTGCCCGTGGAACCTATGCTGATTGCAGTGAACTTTTCAGGGCTCAGTGATGGATCCTTTTGAGAACGACCCTGATAAGGAGAAACACTACACCGATGCTCTTTGCATAGGATTAGATCGAACTGATGATTCACTCATTGAAGCAGAGATGGAAGCAGCTCTCAGGGAGTACGATCAGATTGGGGATGAGCTTGGGATTGCTGTCTCAGGTAGAGCCCTTGCTGAAGACCCTAGCCGGTTGACTAGATGGATCATTGGAGAAGAGAAAGTCCAAGGCTTAAAAAAGTGATCATCACCGTTCTTCTCTTATCAGCAATCTACTTCGTTCATAAATATTGCCGTTTGATTCTCTGCCAAGATTTAGTTGCTCTATTCTGCAACCCAGAAGGAAGCTGAATAAATCTGTCAAAAGTCCATCGGTGTTCTTTGAGAACAGTGTTTTCCTCTTGAGAGCACCGTAGAAGCAGCAAGATCTAACCCCCCTAAGGTTAAACCTTAGGTTTCTTTAAACTCATGGGTCCGTTAAGGCATAATAATGTACAGTTGAGTTATAATGTATATAGCACATATTAACTTTTGCTGTTTAACTATTGTCCAAACAAGTGTTTTGCCCGTGCTCGCATTGGGTGGCTTTGGTTTCTTTCATTTTTATATATCTTGTTTCTTTGTTCTCTATAATTTTCTTTTTATGTTCATGCCTGTGTTTATGAATTTTATTTTATTTTATTTTTTCGAGTTGCTGCTCCTTCAAAATTAGATACCTTGCTCTGGAGCTTTCTTATAAAGGAAGTACAAAGTAATTGTATGGATGATTTTTATTTCAAAGTGATGACTGATTTTGAAGTACTGAATGAAATTACCCGGGGGGTGAATAGGGTAAGCAAACAAAATGTGCAAATACAATTCAATTTAAGACCCAAAATATGTTAATAAGCAATAATAAAAGAGAGTGAGAGATAGTTAGCCAATGAAGACGACGATATGTTCACGAGGTTCGGTCATTCTGGACTTACGTCCCCAACCACCTTTCCCGTTGATGATCCACTACACAACCCGGTTTGAAAGTCGAAACTTTTACACAATAATCTACCTGAGATCAAATTTTCCACACAATGATCTTCTCGAGATCTATTACTCCACACAATGCCACAAATACAAGATGAATAAAATGATCTCTCTTACAAGTATCCTATGACAAGGAGGAAGAGATGAGAAGTTGAAGCACAAGTATTTGTGGGATATGAAACTGTAAAACTTAGAAGAAAAGGCTTGAGGAAATTTGCTTTGAAGAATTAAAACACAAGTTGCCTTCTTTCTCTACTTCATTAAAATCAAATGAGCATTTGAGAGCTATTTATAACCTCTCAATCAAATCTTAAGTTATGAGTTTGAAATCAGATGAAATCTGCCTAAAAATGTTATCCAAAATCCCTTGAAAACTGGAAGCAGATAAAACTAGCCGTTACTAGAAAAAAATCCGAGATCGGTTGACTGATCAACTAACCAGTCGACTGACCAGAGCGACTAAAACTATACATGCTGATGATAACAATATCGGTCGACTGGTCAAAATATCGATCGACTGCTAAAAGAATCGTTAGGTCAACCGCTTTTAACAGCCGGTCAACTGGTCGACTGAGACTGTAAAAATAGCCTTCTGCCCAATCGACTAAAAATAGGGTCGATCGACCGAAGATTGATATAATAGATATTTACTGAAAGATTGATTTTCTAAATTCATTTTAAAATATTAAAACAACTCCAAAAGTAGTAAAACTTGGGAATAAATTTATAAACATGAAAAAACATAAACATGAAAATAAACATTTTAGAAGAGGAATTTTTAAAATACCATTTTCCATTTGTGAAAACTCATTATTTTGCAAAAACCGTCAAAAATGCGAATTTTAAAATGTGTGTGTGTAATCCCCTAATGCTTCAAAAGTTATCAACTTTATTTCTTGCCTACATTATGATCTAGAGAGAAATAAAATATAAATATCGCTTACGATTGTATACAAAGTTTGAGTATCGATTTTTGCTAAGATCTGTTGATGATGCTCTTCTTGAATATATACTTGAACGCTCTTCTTAAATAGATATATGCTTGAGTCGATCTTTGAACATTTAAGGCTTCTTCATGAACTTGCCTCCACCTCCATGAATATCATCGTTAAGGCACAAATCCATCCATCCTCCTTTAATGGCACTATATTGCTTGATAAACATATCCTGCGTAGGATCACTTGACAAAGAATTAGGACCAATAATGGGGTTTGTAAATCATCATAAAAACACGAGACCTAACAATCTCCCCCTTTTTGATGATGAAAAACCACCATTATGAAAGAGCATAAAAATAAAGAAATAAAAATATTATTTATAGATAGATGCTCCTCCTATCTATAAGATTCTCCCCTTGTCTATGTGTACGAATTTTAGGAGATTCTCCCCCTTTGGCAACATTAAAATGGGGTACACAAAGATGAAGAGAGGAGAAGAAGAAAAAAAATCATGAAAAACTAGTGGATGAGGAATCAGTCGACTGATAATGTAGTCGGTCGACTGGTTGTATCAGAAATCAGCCGACTCAACATATCAGATACCAGTCGACTGGTTATATAACCGGTCGACTGACTAGAGACTCATCCAATACTCACAGTAACATCAAAATATCCTGGATTTATGGGTTCATGAAAACTAAAAATAATCATAAGTGTTCAAACAAACATGAATCAATGGATGCACATGTCTAATTCACCTGTTATGCGACAAAAATCTTCTTCGCAAAGAGGCTTGGTAAAGATGTTCGCTAATTGTGATTCTGTATCAATATACACAAGGGACACATCTTTCCTTTCTACATGATCACGTAAAAAATAATGTCGAACATTTATAGCACTAGTATTATCACAAAAAAATTTCGTATCATGAAAATGTAAATCGAAATCAACCAAAGTTTGTTTCATCCATAATAATTGAGCACAATATAAGCCGGCAGTAATGTATTCCGCTTCTGTAGTGGATAAGGTTATACAATTTTACTTCTTGGATGACCAAGAAACTAGAGAGTTGCCTAAGAATTGACACGTACCACTAGTACTCTTGCTGTCCACCTTGTATCTGGCAAAGTCGGCATCACAATAACCATAAAGATCAAAAGTGGTATGCTTCGGATAAAACAAACCAAGTTCAATTGTACCATTTATATACTTAATAATATGTTTAACTGCAATTAAATGATTTTTTTTAGGAGAAGCTTGAAAACGTGCTGTAGGTGTGAATTTCTGATCTCTCGAAATAGGGATTTCGTTTGTATTTATAAGAACAGCTTATTACAAACTAATGAATCAAAAATTACAACAGAAGCGGAGTGAATGCCCTCCTTGTTTAACGTGGGGACTTTCGGTAGCTATAGGACGCTTCGCTCGGTTCTCGCACTGAGTCTGTTTCCCTTGGACGATTCGACCGAGGTTGCTGGCGAGCTTCAGTACGCAGTAGAAGCACGGATCGATGGAGTTCGAGTCTCCGAGTTCGACGGCGATCAGGGCACGAAACTGGGAGAAGATGCTGCAGTGCAAAGATTATGCAAAGAGCTTGTCGTCGACTCTGTTGGGAGTCGAGAGCTAGTGGTTCAGTTAGCTGATTGAATTAATTAATTAACTATGAGCGAACGAACCCCTTTCCTGTAGCCAGGAGAGGTTCTTAAATAGAGGAGAGGCGACGCGGTCGCTCCTTGAATCATGAGATATGACCATGTCTTGGGTTTGTACTGTGAGCGACTACTTGATGGGTTCGGAGTACTGTACTCCTTCCCTTCACGTCATGAGGAGTGGGGTTGCGGCTACCCAGTACTCGAGTGGGTCTAACCGACTTGCCGTTCGCAGGCGGATTCAACTCTTGACTCGTGCAGGCGAGGTGAGCTTTCTGCGGGCGGACATGGCGACTGACCGGTCACTCGTACTGTGAGCGGCTACTTGATGGGCTTGGAGTACTGTTCTCCATCCCTTTACGTCGTGCGGGAAGTGGGAAGGCCCATCCCTGTACGCAGCGTAGCGGCTGTCAAGTACTCAAGTGAGTCTAGTCAGCTTGCCGTTTGTAGACGGATTCAGCTCTTGACTCGTGCAGGCGAGGTGAGCTTCAATCATGAGCGTGCAGGCAGATATGGCGACTGCATGGATTTGACTAGTTGCTCGTACTACGAGCGACTACTTGATGGGCTTGGAGTACTGTGCTCCATCCCTTCACGTCGTGGGAAATAGGAAGGCACATCCCTGTACGCGGCGTAGCGGCTGTCGGGTACGAATTCGACTCTTGACTCGTGCGGGCGAGTCGAGTAAGCAGGTGAATCTGGATGATCTTGACTCATGTGGGCGAGTCGATCATACAGGCGAGTCTGGATGATCTTGACTCATGCGGACGAGTCGATCATACACACCAGTCTTTGATCAACAATCGCGGGCGAATTTGGGGATCGTGCGGTTTGGGTTCACACTAGTGAGTCCAGTCCATGGGTGAGCCCCACCCTTAATTCATGTGGGCGAGTCTGACTCGCAGGCGAATTTGTGTGTAAGTTTGCGGAGGTAATTTTTACCGTCTACAAGACCCCCTTCAAAGTTTTTAGACCTAAACCGGCTTGCGTGTGGTCTGGAATACTTTGAATGAAGAAGTTCCTAGCGAAGCAAGTGTATTTGGTTCCCTTCAGGATTTTTAGCAAACCCTCAGCTATCGACGGGTTTGATTTGCCTTTATCGATTACCGTTTGAATCGGGCTAGCCATACTATTCCCCTCAGTATGATGAGTTATCGAGTAGTTTCTCTTAGGCTTAATGCTAAGATTTCTGCTCTAACCCTTAGCCGTTTGAGGCGTGGGTTTGAGTGAGGCCATTCTATTGGTGGTTCAAAACTCTGGACGAGTCGTATTATCCGGAATCGTTCAGGCAAAGCCAGTTTTTTTTTTGCAGGCGAAACCCTTCCTTCAGGCAGAATTCGATTTTGGCAGGAGGTGTGAACAACATGTTCGCCGATGTAGCTTCGTGCTTTTCAGCTAAGGCGGCGTGGGTTCGTCAGGTCGCATCAATTACGATTTTGACAGTATAACGTCAGCTTCGTGCACCTCGCTCGATGACGAATCGTGACCGTGGTTTTCGAATTCATCTGTCAGATTCGGTTCGGGTCCTGGCCCGTTTCCTGTTTCCACGGTTCCTTCGTAACCGCAAAAGAGAACGAACTATGGAGAGTAATCTGGGCCGTCGATTTCAATCGTGGCCACGTCTCTTAACCGCCAGTGTTTCGCCTCTTGAGAGCGATCGTGGCCACGTAAGCATCTCCGCCTTTAAATAGGCTTTGTTCCCCTCCTTTGAGAGCTACTGTGCTCAAGAATCTCGTTTCGTGAAAACTTTCCAAAGAGAATAATTCCCGCTTCGTCCCCGACTCTTTAGACATGGCGCCGAAATCTAAGAAATGCGTTCCAAAGAGAGGAGGTCCTGGATGCTATTCTGATCGCCTTACCGTCGGTACGATCGCCAGCGTGCCTGAGACGCATTTGGGTAAGTCGAAAGATTTGTCTGACGACCTTGCGTTGATTGTCGACGTCGGGTCGGGAGGATGAGTATCGCTCGTCTTCCCCAGTGGATTCTGCCATTTTTTGGCAGTTTTCCTGGTTTGGATAAA